CCTGCTGCACCGCCACCTCTGCCATGGCAGCCAGCCTTTGGCTGGGACAAGTGTAACCTCCCTAGGCTCCATCAAGAACATTGCCCAGAGTGCCACAGTCCTGCAGTATCTGCATCCACTGATATGTCTTACTGCTGGCACTGTCCTCTGGGTCTAGAAGCTCTTACCTCTCCAGCTCTCATGTTTGCTGGCAGGCTTGTAGCATGCTGGCTGCCATTCCTTGCCCTGTTCCACCTCCCTGCCACCCTAAAATGCCTACCTCCTCTGCAGCCTGCACACAGTGTACCTAAAACCCAAGCCAAAGCCTTGACATCTCCAAATGTGCCCCTTCTCCGCATCCTGCTGCGGCCCATCTGGAATGAGGCCCTGGGCAATGCATCAGTTGGCCAGTTCTCTGTTGCTAGCTAGTCCCACTCAGAATTGGTCTCCAATGCTCTCCCCTCCCTGCTGGTCTTTTGCACACCTTTATCAATCAATTCATTTTACCATGGGACTTTCTTCCTTTGTTTTGCTCCGAGGCTGAGAACAGAAAGACAAACTGCTACCTAGAGATCTCCTTCAGCACTTTGCCCATTACTTGAGCCTGTTCCCCAGCCTTTGCAGAGCTTGGTATTTCCTTTACCTTGCTTTCCACTAGGGAGATGAGAATCTGCTCCATGATGCTGCTGGTCGCTGGGACGTTGCTCTGTATGTGGCCAATCACCACGCCGATGGCCACCCGGGACAGCTCATAGCTCAGGTTTGTGTTTCTGCGCACCAGCTCGATTAGCTCAGCACCAATCGTCTTCGGCACTGATACAGCCAGGCTGTTGGGTTCTGGGGCCAGGGACTCCAGGGCAGTTGCCTTTTTCTCTTCAAGGGAAAGCGAGTTGAAGGCTTCTAAGCCTACTGGGGGAGCCGGAGTGGTCTTCTTGACCTGTGGATTCTTCTCCCCATCCACAGTGAGACACCTCTGAAGCCCTGCTTCAGTTGGAGGGGCCGGGGCAGCCCTCTTGGTCTGAGGAGATCTAGTTATACCATCCTTTCCTGAAGTCTCATGCTGTGTGTGGACAGAAGAGCCAAAATCCAAGCTGCGTGATACAGTAGTGTGGGCACTCCTGCTGGGCACGGGTGGCGGGGTGTTGGTGGGACTGGAAGTGGCTGTTGGGAGACACATTTCCGAGGGAGTGGAACCAGTGTACAAGCTATCGAGGGAAGTGGAGCTCACAGAAGAGGCACCAGAAGCTGACCCAGAGGTGATTTCCACAGCATCTGAAAAAGAAAGGCCTTAGCAATAGCATCAAAGAAAAAGGAAGAAACAAATTGCCACAGCCCAGTCCATTAAGAAGCTCATTGTGCATGCTACCAAAGCAGTTTAATTCCTTTTCCTGGCTCACTTATCTCAAAGCAAAATTGTATTAGCTCTCTCTTGAGCATTCCAATGCAATCACCTCTTTAGTGAAGGGGAAAAATCCTATTCCACCGAGATGAATTTGTTTCAAAGAGCTCACAGCTTCACAGGGTGAAATAGCTCAAGGAGAAAGGAATCTTTTCCCCCTAATTTAGACAGTAACTTTTTCCCCCCACATACTGAGCATGATGGTTACTTCTGACATGGCTGAATACCAAGATCTGTAAGACTGCACCTTGTGGCAAGCATCTTCTTTCCCTCCTGCAGAACAGACCATGCAGTTGGTGTAGTGTCAAAAGCAAGAAAGAAGCACTAGAGCATTCAGCTGGCAGGCACCTGTGGTTTCTCCCTCTAAGCATTCTAGATGATTAACTTCTAATCCCCAAAGACATATTGCTGGCTGCCCTACCACTACATGATCACTCGCTATGGTTTATTTTGGGGTGTGCTGTCCATTTTAGATATGGCTAACTCCAGCCATAGTGCTTATGCCATTTCTCTAAGGAAACCAGCTCAAAAGCTAATTGGCCTCTTTGTCAGGACATTTATTCCCCCATGAGCCACAATATTCACACAGCTTTGCCTTGCAATTTCTAAAAAAACAGGACTGCAGAAAAGTATCCCACATTGGCCTCTCATAGCTCAGCAGGGAGACACGGTCATTCAGGCAGAGTGACAGAGCCCAATCACTCCCTCTCTGGACCCCAAATTAAGAGATTCACAATCTGTGGGAGGATGAAAGTCCCCCTTCAGGATGACCTTGATTCCCAAGGCGAATTCACTCCAATTTTGTATGCTGCACCGGCATTCACATCACCGCTCACTGTTCTTTGCTGGCTCACCTGTTTATCCACAGAAAATAAAAAACTCCTCAGGCAATGAGCATTATCCCCAGGCAAAGGGAGAGAGATCCTCTTATGTCACCAGGACATTGAAAAGCCTTTTCTATGCTCATGCTGTGTGAGGCTTCAATAATCTTATTCTACAACCAAGTCCTATCACTAGTTGCACATCACTGGCTGAGAAGCACCCCCCTCCCTCCCCCTACCTTTTGAAACACAGAATACTGGGATCTTGAGCACCATTTGGTCTCAGGTCAAAGACAAGTAGGGTTGCATGAACTATACTATCTCCTAAAAAGCACTCCCCTATTTTCTACCTTCCTCCTCTTTCTAAAGATAATAGTCCATACGCTGCAGCTTCCACTGGATGTCCCCTAATGAAAGGGGTAGTGAAAATTAATCACAACTGTGCAACCTCTCACTGCTGTAGTGTGGAATGGCACAGGCCGGGTGCCTGTCCCACGTTTCAATTACCTGCCCAGAATCAGTCAGCTCCATCCTATATCTCATGTAATCACTGAGGAGAACATGACTGAGGTTGGGTGGAGCTGGCTTTGGTCACAGAACAATTGTGGCAGGACAAGAGAAAACCATGGCAAGGCACCACCACACAACTAGTGTCACAACAGAATGGCTTTCCTCATTCATATCCCAACTAAAAATAGCTCCTCAGACAGGTGTCAACTATATATTTATTTGTGTCAGCCCATTAGCACTTCTGCCGTCAGGACTGCAAGTTTTCACACCCACAATGGGGTCAGTCGGTCTGTCTGCAGGATGTATGCAGATGATTTACAGCAAGGGACTGCAGGTGGCATGCTTCTGCCTTTTGGCTAGACAAGGGACTGGCTTTGCCAAACTCTAACCTGAGGAACAAAGAGCTGGCTGGACTGCCAGCAAAAAGCTCCAACTGAATGCAAGCCAGTTCCTCACTGCATTAATACAGAGCTCCCCCTGGCGACTGACCAGATTTATCGCATCCAAATGCAACAACATCCCCCCACACACCCCAACTTATCATTCCACCCGTCAAAACAATCTCAGTGGTATTTGTGCAAAACTACTGGACACAAGGACCCCAGCCCACTGTGGCTGCAGGTGTCTTTCAAGGAAGCAAGCTGAGCAGAATGTTGCAAACGCTGCTTTTGGAAACCCTGCCTCCAGCCAACACTGAACTCCTGAGAAGTGTCTAACTCCTTTGGAGATGATGGGGAGAAGAATCCATTGGTGCTGGACCAATATTGAATTACAGGGTAGGGAGAAAACACAGGTCCCCAACCCATCGGTGTTATATTTAAGAACCAGGAGGTAAATTTTAGCCCGTTGTCCCAGCTGCTGACAACACGCTCTCCCTCCCCTCCTGCCCAACATCCAAAAAGAGGGTGTCTATCTCCTTACTTTTAATGGGCACTGCTGTCTGCGTGCTCTTGCGCTTTTCTGGTGGTGGTGGCGTGACGGGAGCAGCTCGGCGTGGCTGCGGTGGGATCTAGAAGGGAACGTTTTAGAGCAATCAAAGGAGGCTGACAATAAAGACATTCGGTGTTAGAAAGCCTTTCTTTGTGCACACGTGTAAATTTGTCCTTACGTCTCATCATTCCATAAAGATCCCTCAGGAGGACAGATATTAATAGGCAGCTTCCCGCAAGAACAAAGCCAAACTCCAAAACCCCCCCCTCCCATTGACAGGAAAAACAGTGGTTGTTTAATTGCTATGTTCAGCAGCGTGCAACATTTGTCTCTCGCAGACCTGTCAAGCATTTACTCCTTTCTTATTCCAGATGCAATCCCACACATTCGCCATGACTTTATACTGCTCTCAATAGCTCCACAGAGGCAGCAAACAGCACATATTTAGACGCTCTTCTGGAGAGATCCATCGCATTAGCTACAAATACCCTTGAAGACAGACAAAGCCAAGGACTGAAGATATGTAAATTCCCACCCAGTTCATACTTTCACAGCAATTTCTATCTGGGCAGGGAGAAAGGCTAAGGCGAGAATTGTTGTGCAAACTTAAAGCCCAAGGCTTTTCCCTAACAAGAAGCTTCAACTAGAGTGCAGCACTAGACTCCCTACCAACAGCCCTTCCCCAACATAGCTGCTTCCCCAGAAATAATGGAAAAACAGCAAGGTCTCCGATGGCTAACACTCCAAGGCTCTGACCTCTCATGAAAGCAGGGACCCTTTTCATGCTTAAATATGCCTTTGCCACCTACAGTTTCGAGGAATGCAGTGGGCCACTGGGAAATCATGGCTCATGCTGAATATACTCAGCCAAGTTCAGTAGTTTTCTCCTGGAAGCAGATTTCACCAAAACTCTGAGATTTATATAAGCTGCCACTGACCTCCATCCAGCTTGGACCCACAAGGCCTGATCTGGTTTGAAGCCAGCATCCCCCGCGCTCACAAATAACATTTAAAAAAAATATGAGGTTCCTTTTATTCACCTCCTTGTTTCAGAGCCATTAGCTGTACCTACAGCCTTGAACAAGACGTGTTAAGAATCTGAATGGTGTCCCAAATGGTACAACCGAGACCCAGAGGAAGTACCCCGCCTGGATCTACCATGCTCCATTGGTAGACCGTATTCTTAAAGAGTTGGTTTCTCCGGAGCTGGCCATTGCTATGCATTCTGCCAGGTTTGATCCTGTTGGGAGGTCAAAGTTGCCTACCAAGAGGCGTTTTCTTTGTTTCCTGCCACCTGGGCACTGCACTGTGCACTAGGTCCTGTTTCCTTGGCAGGTTCAGCCACGATACTGACTGTACACTATGGACACAGTTCTGCGTACTTCAGAAATATCCTGTTTCATCTCAGAATGACACAGTAGTTCAGACTAAATTGGAAGCACCTGAGCTCTTTACATGGCAAGAGGGTTAGAAGTCCCCACAAGATACTCAACTGTGCAAACTGCTTTTTCCAGAGGTTTAGAGCCTGGATTTATTGACACCCAGGCAATACTGTGATGTACTCTTTATTGTTCTTCACCACCCAGCTTTTCTACTTCTATGGCAGGTCAGGTAAATGAATGCAAGAAATTGCTCCCACATATGGACCTTATGCTGGGGAATCAAGCTGAGCTCTGTGTTCACTTAATGCCCAAGCTCTTTGCTTATTCCCATCCCCGCACAGACGTATCGTCAAAGTGCTATATAGAATCTGAACACCGAACTGGCCAGAATCCAGCAATGTACTTTCTTGCCCTTCAAGAATGATTAATCTTTGGCCCACAGAGACTGCACAGCTGTGAAAGTCGCAGTGGAACAGAGGAGGTCTCTGCAAAGGGCTGGCATGGCAGAAGGCCCTCCCTGGCTCTGATAACTGCAGCTGTGCTAAAAAAACAAACAAAAAAAGTCAGCCCTATCTTCACAGAATGTGAGGGAGCTAACTTTACAGGACACAAAGCCACTCGGCTCAGTGCACTCATGATTAGACAAGCAGCAGCATTTAGCAGCCAGCTCTGGCTGGCTTATAACAGCATCCTCACACTATTTGGTAACCTACAGGGAATGGTCTCATTCCTGAATATTTCCATGGCTTCACGTACCCTTCCAAATTTGTCCCATATTTAGTTCTAATTATTATAGAAGTAATGGCTGTAAAATATTGCCAAGTACCACAGAACATAACCCATACACAGAGCTACAGACACCCACTTGCTAGGGGCAACCAGAACTCTCTCCTGGACAGTGAAGGTACAATAAAACCATCAATCTCAGCAGAATCCAAACTGCTTCATCCAAAGAAATCTAGATTCCTCAGTTAAGATGCAGGTCTTTCAAATGTGATGGCAGTAGGTCCTCAAGCATGCAGAGCACTCCTCTGCCACCTCCCCACCCCTGCCTGGCAGAGCTGTGTGCAGCAGATGAGGTGCAAAGGTGCCTGGGAGGCAGCCCCTGCCTCGGCCACAAAGGCTTTGCTTTTCACCAATCAGGAGTATTGAGCGGACAGCACTGAGTTTCTCTGAAACTGACAATCTTTAGCAAAACTGTCAAGAATCAGATGGATTTCACTTAGCAAAACTGTGGGCAACAACTCAAAAAGATCCAAATGTCTAGACAAGGGCTAGACGGAGATTTTTTTTTTTTAATATATTTTGTGTTCCAGGTCAAAATCAGCCAAATCGCATTGATTGAGTAGGCAGAACTCAATCAGATCTAAACACTATGCATGGCGCTACAACTGGAGAGCATCCTCGAGCCCAGCCTCTCACCCTGGGACTTCAGATACTCTCAAATTCACTGGCAGGCATCCTACATACAGGCTCAAGCCAGGAGGTCTTGGGATTTGGATGCCCCAGAAACTACAGGCAAGCATCCTTCAGATACTTCTTACACTCAGTCTTAGCCCACAAGAGGCCAACTGCTTTCCCCAGCCCTCGCTAAAGTCCAGAGTTGATTGGAGATAGCATGAGACAGGCAAGAGGCTCTAAAGTTTGGGTCATTTTCAGAAACAAGTGAGAAGGAGCTGTGCAAGGCATGGGCTATCCCGAGACTTGCACAAGACTGAAACTTCAACCAGGTCCAAGAACAGGTTTCAATCACTTTCCTCTTCACAGCACTGGTGTCAGGGCTGAGCTGAGGCCTGGAAGGGGGAGAGGCTCAAAAAACAAAAACAAGTCAGCATTGCTCCAAGACTGTCTTGGGTAGAAAGAAAGAATGCCCAACCCACTAGATCTCTTGGTGGCCAGCCTAGAGGAAGAAATAAGGCTGGTGCCCGCACACAGAACTAAAACAGCACTGCTGTTATTGGCTTGCTCAGCTCTCCTGCTCCTGTTTAATCCAGATGTTGCTGGGATGGACTCTGTGGTCTACAGAAAAGCCTCTAAGAGCAGGAGCACAATAAGCTTATCCCCAGGTAGGCAGCCTACCAAGCATGCAGAGATGCAGCAGGTTTTATACCTTTTGAGATTCCAAGCCTCCTCTTTAGCATTGGTTATACAAATGCTCTGAATCTTCCCCCTCATGCCACTCTAAGATGACAAATTACGTAAGTGTCCAGCTTGGATTTCTCCCACCACACATTTTGTTCAGCTCAGCCCCTGAGAAGCAGGGAAGCAAAGTCTGAGTGCAAGTCACCAAATAGCTCAAAGGTTACCAGGGCAAACAGCAAGACATAAGCAGCATACCCGAGTGGTCAAAGGCATCTCCCTTCAAGCATCTACTCCTCTCAATGTAATAGGTCTTTTTTTAGGCTGCTTCAGAAAGTGATTGCCTTAAGAATGAACTAGGGCAGCCTCTGCTTTTAGCAGGGGACACAGGGTGCTTCTGTTGCACTTTAGCATTTCAGGAACATCCCCATCCAGCAGTGACAGTCAAATTAGCCTGGTCAAGGGGCAAGCACAGTCTTACAAAGGCAACAACTTGGAGTGGGCTCAGAGACCCAGTGTAGGAGGGAGCTGGGCCTTCTTATTAAAATCAAGGACTTCAGTTTCCTCCAAATCTTCATTGCAACTAGGTAAGCACAGCCTTACAAAGAAAGATGGGGATTGAACATTGCAGAGGGTTTTGTCTCCATCTCATTTTGCTCTAACACACCTGGCTTTCCCCTCCAGAAACCTTCAGAAGTAGGCTGGGTTTGTTGCCTAGAGGAGAGTAGAAATAGAAGGGAGTTGTATGGATGCCTATATTCTACTTCATTTACCAGCCTCTTTTCTATCTGCGTAGACTTCAGGTTCCCTTGTAAGTCCATAACAAGCCCCACCTACCATTGGTGACAGATACTGCTGTAATCTAGGTAAGCAGGTCATCTCTCCAGCTTCTTCGTCGAGAACAAGTAGCTCTGAGTTCAGGTGCCTTGTCAGGTTATCTTACATGGAACAAGTTTGTCCCCACAGCAAACAAAGCACACAACAAAATAAGAAAGTATGCAAGTAACAAAACCAAAACTTGTGGTCATTCCTCAGACCTAGAAAGGGGCACCACAGGCGCTGTGCTACTCCCTCAGCATGCCAGCCTCCTCTCTCCCTGTAGCTCCACCTTCATTCACTGGTCACCAGCTGCAGCTGGTTCCCAGCCTTCCAGCCAACCAGACTCTTAACTGCTGACTACCTGCAGCTGGGTCCAGCTCCCAGAAGGTTAAGCACCTCCTTACTTTCCGACTCCAAGCCATCACCCTGAATAGATGGGGCAAACCTATACTACCAGCACAGCTGTGGGAGGGGAAATTCACTGCACTTACATCTTGGCTTCATCTCCAACCTCCCAGCAGCACCCCTACAATGTAATTGGTTAGACCCTGAACAAGGGCTGTAAAGACTACTTTGGCCTTCCTCTCTGAAGACTTGTTGATGCCCTACAGTAACCTTGAAACATGCTCTGTTTAAAAAGAATTCTGCTTATAAGTCATACTTCCTGTGTTTCCCCTCACATTCATCATTACTAGAGACATACGCACGAACACAGGGTCTTTACACTTTACAGCTTCAGCAGAGGAACAAGCAGATGAAGCTGTTGAATTTCTAGGGGAACATGAACCTAGTTTTGCGCAGATTTTACAAGAAAGAAACAAAAGCAGAGGAAAAAAGTTTGACATAAGCAGAACTGTCTCCAAATATGATATTTTTCAAAGTATTCCCTGAGTAGTCAGCAGCTCTTTAAAAAGGTGTCAAGAAAAAGACAGTAGCATAAACTAGACCAGAACTGGTGCATTTACATAAAATCTCACATCCTCTGGGAATCCAAAGTGCTTCACAGATTTAAACAGTACACAGGGATTGTATCAGCCACCCTGGGACGGGACAAGGCAGCTGTTTAGCAGCACACAATGAATCCACACAACAGTTCAAGGCAAGCAGCAGAAAAATCATTCTTCAGTTTTAGTTGACTATGGAGACAGTTTTCCTGTGCCACACAACAGCAGGAAGAATTCTGGAAGCAGGCACATAGGAGATGCTAATGCTGATGTTACCTGGTAAAGACTTTCCTCATTCTCTTGGAGCTCGGTGTTAGGGAGGCTGTGGTGTCGCTCATATCCTGTCCGGCACACCCCATTGGGCTGCCGTGCCATATCTAAATGGTGATCACTAGAGGACGGGGTCATAGTCATGCCCTGACTGGCTGGCGAGTGGCCTTTGCGGGATACAGTCTCCTTTCGATGGTGGATCAACTTCCTGGCAGATGGAACAGGAACAGCAACATTAGGGATGCAGAGGGAGACAGGAAGTCACTATTCTAGGTTACAATGCTCTAAATTTAGGTACTGGACAGTACCTACAATGGATCTCTGCCTAGAGAGACTACTTACTGATGGTGGAACAAGTCCATTTCCGTAAGAGCTTCCTCAGAGGGGAAGAAAAAGTCATCACAAAAAGCAGAGTTCACAGAAAGGAGAGCACTTCAAAGAACTAAGGTTTAAACATCATGTTATGTGCTTCAGAACACTGGCGCCTCTGCCTCACATCAAACAGTGATGGACACAAAGTGGATGTGCCTCAATCTACAAAACTCACATCTCATAACAACCATTTGTCAATGGTGCATTACAAGGATGCCCTCCTCCTCTGACTTCCATATCTCCAGCATCCAGCTGACTACCCAAAATGGTTTAAGTTGGTAGAGGCAATGATTTCTTAGGGTGATATCTTTTATTGGACCAACTATGTAGAGTTGAGACAATTAGACAAGCTTTCAAGTGCAAGACATTTTTTCCCAGGTCTCCAATCACAGGGAACCAGGCACAGCATAGTGGAAAACAGCAGAGGGGAGGGTGAGAGAAATGCTCAGGGGTAGCAGACCTCAGATAATTATCAGCGAAGCAGTAAAAGGGGAAAAACTCAGTGCTCCATGCCCCCTCCCCTACCCAACCAAGCCATAAAAAAGCAATGAGTTCTGGATACCAACAAGTGAGATAGATGACATTTGTTAGGTGTGCTTCATTCTCCCATATCTTTTTCCCCAATAAGAAAATTGCATGCATAAAAGATCTGTTTGGTTTTTGTGAGGGTGGTGTAGTGGTGTGGGGATGGATTCAGTTCCATGGGGCTCTAATGGAGGAAGTTTCCCAGGAGGTCACTCTTAAGAGACAACCACCCCAAATTGCAGACATACTTGTCAACGTATATACACACCAATATGAAGAAGTTAGTCCCTTTTGCACCTGAAGCCTTACACACAACTCATCAGCCTTCCCAATGAGAGGAGCAGCCAACCCCGAGTTGCGTGTAAAATTCAGAGGCCACTACCATTCAGTGCCCTTCTGTTCTAGGGCAGGAGATTTACAAACCATTCCACTATCTGCAGTTTCCCCATAGCAGATACACTGCACAAATTCAGTCCTAAAACTGCTCTGTACCACTGTTATGACACTGTACGAGCTGGCCTTTAAGATGCGTCTTAAGTGTTTCATTGCCAGGGCCTGGACTGCAGCCTCACAGGGCAAAAAGACCAAGCTACAATCAGGAAATGAGGACTCCCCAGCTGGAGACAAGCACAGCTAAATATCATCCAAATGAAGCATAAAGATCCTTCCACTACCTCACTCATCAGGCAAGACTGACTCCTTCTGGTTAATTTGTCTAACCAGGTGCAGCTCTAATGAGAAAGGCCAAGCGACCTGGGAGTCCAGGCAGGGGGTAGGGCACAGATCTGCACTTGATAGATAGGAAATGCGAACAGCCAAAAAGCAAGAGATCTCCCCTGGCCTGAGCAACAAGGGCCTCTTCACCCACCTGCAGAAGGAGCTAGCAAGGAACCTTGGATATGAGGCAACACCCCAATTCACTGAGGTAAGTTTAGATTGACAAACAGTTGTCCAGGGAGTTGGAGCTGTTCTGCAACGGGCAATGGGGGCCTATGGCTGGTGACTGGGAGAAGGGGATATAGGAATAGGCTGGGGGCTAGACTGCTCACCTGGCTCCATTTCCTGAGGAATGGAGGGATAGCCCTCAGCACGCCAGAGCTTTCTTTGCAGTGCTGGGGCCCTAACTGGCAGCTGCCAGCCCAGCAACCCCTTCTTAACCACAGCCTATACAGGAGCAACCAAACTCATGTTGTGCCTGTACTGCTGAAGTCATGTCCCCCACCTCCTCCAGACCAACATAGCCCACTGCTTCCCCCATCTGCCCCAGCTATCTGCTATACTTACTGGAGGACATCCCTCTGCTCCAAGTTGTACTTGCCCCCATTCTTCATAGCTGCATTGTGTATAGCCTCAATGGCTCGATCAATAGACTGCAGAACCACATCTTGTTCCAGTACCTGCAGGACACAGTGTGGTGATACATATTACCATGCCACTTCATTTTCAGATGCTTTCGATTTGCAACTTACAGCAGGTGATAAAAGTAAGACAACAGAGACATCCGACAACCAATGGAAAAAAGAACTAAGGTTTTAAGTGTTTACTCAGGTCTACAGCTTGTCTGCACTGTCCCAAGCTATTCTTTATTCATTAAAATTAAGTCTGTCTGTCTTTCTCTCACAATTTTGAAAAAACCACCAAGTTATATATAAACTTGGTAGTTTCTCAAACAGATCTCTTTAAAAAGAAAAAAGGAGACAATGTACTCAAAATAGCTTGCGTCTTTTCAAGATTCAACATCAAGAAAAAAAATGTTTGGAAGAACCAGCGAGTACATTAGAGCTTCCTACACCAGCCTCTGAGTCTGGAAATTTCAACATTTTGTTGCAAGATGCATCATACAATGTCACCTTCAGATCAATTCACATTGTAATAAGGAGCTTCTGAGCTTCCACTGCAAAACCTGCTTTGTTCCAGGCTTCATTCCTCCTGCTGCCCTCACCCAGCTCCAAAGTAACACACAGAGCAAGACTCTGGAGACCATGCCAAAATTGGAAGGCCCTTGTGTGGCAACTGGCTACAGTGTTTGCATGTTTGCTTACTTGCTTGTTAGTTTTGTATTAATTTTGGTGCTTGAAGTAGGTTTTCCAATCTCCCTCCCCCCCAGCCCTCCTTGTATTGCTTACCCTTGGAATTACAAGCCTACCTAAACAGCCAGTTTAAAACATTTGTTGAAGAAACTAACACTAGCTTTTCAAGACGCTAAGCACCAAACTTCATCCAGTTCATCCACACAGGGTGCATCTACACAAGACACTGACTGTGAGGTAGCTGAATAATACTGCACAGTAGCATGTCACAACATCAACAGTATTAATATGTTACTGCGCAGTATTATTAGACTACTGCAGTTGCATCACTTAAGAAGTGTTTGCCAGCATTACTGCACATTTATTTCATACTTGACTATACCAGCACTAAATAAATGTGCGTCTTGTGTAGGCACACCCACAGTGTCCAAAACCTCACACAGCTGAAGCATTTTGCTCAATCCAAAATTATACCTCAGCCTTCCTCAGACATGTCATGGTACTTCCATTTTAAGTGCTTTTGCATCAAGCCCCATCTACACAGCTTTCAAATCCTACATCAGATTCCCCCACCTACAGTAGGAGATAGTAACTTTAGGCCCCTGACAGACATGCAAGTAAAGGTGGGATGGGATCTGATGTGTGATTCCCCACAATCAAGCTTCCTGCCATTCCACACGTGCATAGCCAGAGATGCGATTGTGGGATCCCCCTCACACCTTATTGCCAGTGCAGGGGGAACCTAGGATCACAATCCAGACTCTCCCTGCAGCGTCAAGTAGCAAAGTCCTGCGGCTGTAAGCTTCATCAGCTTACAGGACTCCCAGCCACGGGGATGCACCCCGAGGGTGGGAGTCCCAGCGCAGTCACACATACTATTAACAGCACAATAAGAACCAGCACAAAAGTTATTACACGTTTTTTGTGTGAAATAACTTAGTGGTTTATTCCTAGATTTATCACATCATGGACTTCTATTAACGAACAACTGGGTAACAACTTGGGATGCGATTAACTGGTTAATCAAGTCTTAAGTATAACACGTGCCAGGGGCCTTAGCTACACAAGATGAGCTGCACGCCAGCCAGAAGGCCTGTACAAGAAGGGCTGAGGTAGATGGCAGCAAAAAAAACAGGGAAAGTTTGAGTTTACTCCCGTATTTGTGCCAGTAAACAAAGCTTCTGAGAGTACGTATTCAGCGTCTTCCGAAGATCTAAGTGCTTTAGCAATGATAGGGCTCGTGTTTCTATACAGCCAAGCCCAGGTCTAGGACAGACCTTGCACTGGCCAGTCATCTGTCCAAGATCACAGCATGTCACTAGCAGAATTATGAACAGTGCCCAGGAGCCCCGACTGCCAATTTGCTGTGCTGACCACTAAACACCACTGTGCTCTCAGTTCCATGCAGATGACGGTTGCAGGGGTCTGGAGTCAGGCACTGGCTGCATCTGCCTAAATGCTGAAGGTCTTCATCTTTTTTTGCTTTGTCCCTTCCCTGCATGGTAGCAACCATTTATCTGGCCACAGAACACTTGGAAGCTCATCAAAGATGCACCTTAATTGGCCGTGGGGGTTACTGCCATGCAGCATACGGCAACCCCCTCCCCACAGGGGCCAAACACACTGCCTCCACAGCCCTGCTGTGCAGTTTTCTGATAACACACTATGTATTATTTATACACCGATTAATTACTAAGCCAAACGTGTATTTGCAGCAACCTGCAGACAACACTGAAAAACTCCACAACAAGGCAGTGAATCAAAGTCCCTCTCTGAAAAACACAGCATTTTTCAAAGAGAAGAAATTTAGTTTTCTTGGAAGACAAGAGATAAGGAGAAAACAGCGGGGGGGGATTCAAATTCTGTTCATATAAAACCATCAAATCCCTAGAATAGCAGGTCGGGGGCTGAACCACCACTCAGCGCAGAAAGCAACTCGGGAAGAAAGCCTTCGAAACGGCCCTGTTTCCATCTATAACGAAAGATCTAATTACGACACCAAAGCAGGGCTCACTGAAATCTACTTAAAAGGAGCACTGGGGAGGGAAGGCATTTCAGAGAATGCATTTTATTTTCTGAGAAGATGGGGTGGGGAGGAGATCAAGGCATTTCCTCCAGGGAAAGGAAAGAAGAAACAGTAAAGAAATCATCAGTGCCTCCTTCCAAGTGACTGGGGCAGGTCCTTGGAAAGCTACAAACAGCCCCCCCTTCCTCATGTTTTAGGCCCTCTGCTTGCAAAGCCCCCAAACTGCTTCTAAACACCCTACCATTTGAAAGATTGATGCAACTCTTGCCAAAGCCCTACAACTCTACCAGAGGGGTCCAAGAGCCTAATGCAGGCATGGGCAATTATTTCAGTTGGAGAGCACCTTGATGAGTTTTGGTGAACTGTCAAGGGCCACAAGGGTAGCCCACCCCCCGGTCACCATCTTGGGACCAAAAGTCCCATCCCTAACCTCTGACTTCTGCCACTGGAAGTCCCTCCCCTTGCCCCTGGATATACTCCTTGGCGGGGGCAGAGTGGGGAGGATCATCTTGGAACCAGGAAAATAAAGTCATATATTAAAAGTCAAACAGCTACTGTAACATATTTTTATTTTAATTAAAAAAAAAACATTTTTACCATGATTTGTGCTTGTGCAGTGTATATAGAGATGATTGCATAATAGCGCAAGAATAAGAAGTCTTGCTCTCGTATACTGTGTGAAGAAGTGTGTGGGATGTGGTTAGGGGGGTGTAGGGTATATTTGGGGGCGTGTATATTTGGAGGGTTGTGGGGGTAGGAGAAATGGGGAACCCCCACACTCCCTCCCCTCCCACCCCCACAAATGGCGCACAGCTCCTGCTGCTGGTGACAGCAGCAGCAGCCCCTCAGAGTGCTCATGGCCACCGCAAGCACTGCCACCCGGCAGTGCGTGGCTCCAGCCAGTTCTGGGACCTGAACATGGTGGCAAGGAGCAAAGCCAGGCCAGTCTGCCTCTATCACGCAGGGCTCCCCGTAGCATACATGCAGCTCCCAGCACTTGCATGCCACTGGGAGAAGCCCTGTGTGATGGAGTCGGCTGCCTTCCCCACTCTCTACTGCCACATGCAGCTGCTAGGACTCTGTCAGGAAGAAAGGGGCAAGGCTACCTGCCACTTCCAGTGGAGGCTCAAACCACATATGGCAGCAAGGAAGGCAGCTGGCTCCATTACACAGGGCTTCCCCCAGCAGCGCACAAGTGCCAGAAGCTGCACGTGCCCTACAGGGAGCCCCACGCAATAGTGGTGGGCTAGCCTGACTCCATTCCTTGCTGCCACGTGCAGCTCCCAGCACTGGCTGGAGCCGTGTGCTGCTAGGCGATGTCACCTGCACAAGCCACAAATACCCTGAGCTCCCACTGCCTGCTGCTGCTGACAACAGAGGCTGTGCCATGGGGGGGGGAAGAGAGATTGTGTGAGGGAGTCCCCACCCCCCCCAAGCTTTGCACTCCTGCCACCCCCCAGGATGTGGGCTCCAGGCTCCTGCCAGCCCCAGCCCTCACCCCACCCCCACCACTGCTTCCCTGCCTGCTGCCTGGAGCAAACACTTCAGCAGGGGCAGAAGGAGCCACTAGAGGCTGGGGAAGTCAAGCTCCTCTCCCAGCAGCTGCAGCAGCAGCCCTGCTGTGTGTGCTGGCTGGGTTGGGCCCTCCTGCACAAAGGGTGGGAGTAAGGCATGCGGACTGTGCAGGGTACAATTGGTGGGCACCCGCAGGCCAGGTGAAGATTGTGGCAGAAAGCCACCTTGGTTTCTCCCCAAAAATCTCTGCCTTGTAACCATGTGTTTAAAATCTCTGCCCTGTGACTCTGTGATTAAAATCTCTGTGCTGTGACCAGTTGATTAGGGTGGGCCCAGGAGAGGAGACCACACCCTCAGCCTGTCTCTTTAGGTAACTTGAGCTGGCTGCATTCCTGAGGGAGGGGGGAAACCTGCT